AAAAAAAAAAAAAAAAAAGGAAGAAAGAAAAAGAAAACCCACTCTACTGCTGACAGCTCTACAGTTAACTTTCAGTGACATAACCATTTATTTCTATTTGTTTGTAGTTTTTTACACTTTTTATAGGTTAAATTGATATGAAGTCTTATTAAACTCATTTTAAACTGGCCTGGGACTTTGTTTAGGTTTAAATCACATTAACACAGGCATGAAGCATTTCTGAAAACTCATAAAATAAGGTTAATCCCAGAAAAGGCAGGATCAGGTGATGATATGAAAACTAAGATCCAGAGGGTGGGAAGCACCTTGTTCTCTCCATCCCTCATTCTGATTTCCCCTGTCCCAGGCCCCAGCACCTTCCCTGGCAGTGGGGAGGGCAATCCAAAAGTGGGAATGCGTGGTGTAGGTGCAGTGGGCAGAGGTTTGCTGTTGTGGAGGTAAGGGTGTGGAGGGGAAGACACTAACTCCTTTTCTTTTTTCTTTTTTTTTACCCCCTCAAAAATCTATGGGCTGGTATGCCCCAGGTCTTCAGGCGTGAACAGCAAAAAGAAACATGTTTCTATCTATATATGAGCATTACGGGTACTGGGTAATTTACTGGCCGATTGCTTAATTACCTCAAAACTAGCTACACGTGCAAAGTAGCTATCACATAATAAAAAGCTCCAACCAGCTATCAAGTTAAACCTAAAAAATGTGTGCTAACTTTATAGCTGCTTGATATTAAGCTTTAATTTGCATGTGTAGAAGTGTCAGCTGGTGAGGCTGCCAGCCCCAGGGGTACATCATGCCCAGTGTAAACTTCCCAATCCCTAGGGTTTATGGCAGCCACAATCCCAAGGGTCCAAGGGTTTCACACAAACCCCCAAACCCTGGGGATCATGACTGGTGTACCTGGTGCTTTGGGGTTCAGAAAAACTCTGGGGCCAGAGGATAACTGCAGGAGTGCTCCCCATGCCCCAGGGGAGGGAGAATGACAGTGTGGACAGAGTGCCACTATGACAATGGAGACAGACCGGCCAGCAGTGCTGGCCATGCCCCCCACGCCTGACCCTGCTCCTTGGAGGAGGCAATACTGCATTATTGAGTATTGTAACATATTCTGTTATGATCATGGGTTTAATTAATTAGAACATATTAATTAACAATATAGCAATAGCAAGATCAGGTAATGGTATATTCTTGTTTACTGAGAAGTGGCAGTTCAGTTACTGAATTTGTATGAAGAGGTGTGTGTAAATGGGAAATTATTTACTGAATGATTTTATGAACACTTAAAGTTACATCTTCCCCTATGTGAACAGTGCTCCATTTATTGTAGAATGGTTGGGTGCTGAAATTTCTTTTTTTTTAAAGCAGTTTTACATAATATATAATGAATCCCATATACATTATGATGAACATTATTTCAGTACATCCAAACAGCTGGTCTTTAAATTGATTTCCCTGTTTAGTAATTAATTTCTGATGCATCAAAAAGTTAGCTGATGAAGTTTTGATTTATGCTCTGTACCTGTGTGTAACTTTAATTTGGGTGCCATTTTAATTTGAACTGATAACTTTTGCAATCTATTTGCATGGGGATAAAATAGACCACTACCTTTAAACTGTGTGAATGCATATGGTTGTCATTTCCATTATCAGTGGGAATTAGGATAGATCAGTCAAGATACTTGAAGTCTTTAGGGATCAAATTTCTGTCTGGTTAGAGGAAAGATTAGATATGAAATTTATTTCAAGATTTTAAAAGGGAAGACTCTGAGTTAGTTATGGAGTCTGTTTTGCCATTATAGTTCAAATTCTGTCTTTCTCACATTTCTTTTTGGCTAGGCATGGACAGCATCTTGTACTATTGCTTTCTGGAGTAGATTTGTTTTTCAGTAAGTAATATTCCTCAAACATTTTACAATAGAATATCAGCTAAACAACTTTAATATTTTTCAGTATTTGTTTATAGCCCCTCCTGCTTGGTTGCTTGTAAAAGGTTTCATACAAAGTAAGATTTTTCACCACTGACTGCTCTTTTTCTGTATGGCATTGCTATTCTTACTTTTGTGTCTTGAAGAGGACAAGAAAACATGTCTCTCTTGTTTACTACTTTATTTGTGCTCTGAACGTGGTGATTTTGGAAAATTTTCAGGGATAGTGTTTTAGAAAGGTCTGACTTTGCAAGCTTGCCTCTGCATCTTTCAGTGCTATACCACACAGGATTTGTTGAATACTTCATTGGTCTTGTTTCCTCTAGAGGCTGATTTTTTTATAGTGTAGAATGAAGCTTCTCAAGCTTTTTTTCAGCAGATGAAATTCATCTTTTTAGACCAGAGGTCCTCTATCCTTCAGCCCTGGGGAATGGATGAGAAGCATGGAGCCAGCCTATAGGCATGATCCAGTGTGGGATCAGACTACAGGTGCAATCTGGCTTCAGATCCACCCACAGAGTAAGCCCATGTACCACAGTGGACTGGCCCCACTGCATAGCAGTGCAGTCTAGCATTCAGGATCATGTCATCTGGCCTGTGGGGTTCCTCATGTGTTCAGAAATTTTTCAGTAAGGCAGCAGCAATTACCATTGGCTCCACTCCCTCACCATCAAATTTCTAGACCTGGGGAGAGACCCACAGGCCAAATGTTGTGGCTTTGTGGGTTGGGACTTGCTTACAGGCCATAGCCATAGCACTACTGTTTTAGACAATGTTTATCAACTATTCTCTCTTCTCTCTTTCCCATTAGGATCTGGAAACTACAGCAATTACACATATGATGAAAATATGGGCAATTGCTGTAGTTTTCAGATTTATTGAAATATTTGATGCATTCAGAAAGAAGTAGGAGATCTAACACGATGTGACCAAAATAGTGAGAGATGGGGATTTAGGTTGAACTTGCAGAAATAGGCACCCATGATTTCTCCCACATATTTTGCAGGGAGAACAAGATATCTAATTTTTAAAATACATGTCAGCCTTCCACAAAAGTAAGACTCAGACTCTGACACTTGCTGTGAGCTCATACAAAGAAGTAAGAGCGCTGACACAAGTGACATTGTTGTGTGATGGCCCACTGAAAGCACTCTACAGCTGTGCCCTTATAGAAGTGCATGGCTGCAGAGTGCTTTAAAAGGCCCCAATCCCACAACAGTCTTAACCCTCATTACCTGAGTGTTCAGATGAAGGCGCTTCAAAGTGGAGCGCCTTTGTTATCTTGTGTCAGCATGTGCTTGGAGAGCATTGCGCTGATGCAGCCCAGCCCTGCTCCTGGCACTGTCTTCAGAATGGGAGGAAGGGAAGGGAGTGGAGGGAGTTAGGTCTGGGGATTGCCCAGCCAGTGCTAGAGGGTGGGACAGGTGGTTTGGACCCCCCCTGAGGTGGGGGACCCCTATCCACCCACCCATTCTCCACCACCGGCTGGTCAACCCCCCAGACGGATCTCTCTCTTCCCACTTCCCGTTCTGAAGAGTGCCACTCTGTACCATTTCAGATTTTCTTTGTCTATCATGAAGAAGGTGAAAAGGCTGTAAACTTAAATGTATCTGTTACAAGTTACCTTTAAAGCATATTTGACTACCTTAATTTAGGTGCTTATGTGGAAGCTGAGCACTTTTGAAAACCCATCTCTCAGACTGGTTTTTGTGGGTGGGTTATTTTCAGAATGGAACACTACAAAGAAGTCCCACATTTTCCTAAAATTAGAAAGTGCCTATTGCAGAGAAGGTACAACAGCTCCCCCTTTATTATATTTTAATGTGATTTTACTACTTTGTTAGAGATGAGCATTCTGAGATGAAAAATAAATCAAATTACTAAAAGTAAGGTGCCTTCTTTAACATTAAAACAATTTAAAAATATTATAAAATGCTTTCCCACTGTAAGAGTCACTTTATAATGAAAATAAAAAAACTTTGGTTCTCAAATCAGGATTTGAAATGTGTAAAATGCTGCTCATTTTATACCTCTTGTTCACAGTATCAGCTATGTCACTGAATAGTAGATCTCTGTTTAAGGTGCAACAGCTTCAAGGTTAAATGTGCGTCATTTGTTTTTTAAAATGCCTTTTTTTAAAAATAGAGAACAATCATGATAAAATCAATTTCTGTTATCTTAAAAAAAAAAGTAATGGTTTTCCACACTTTCCTTTACTGACAGTTTTGCAAATTGCCAGTCTCTTTACTTTCCTACCTTTTCTGTCTTTTTTTCCTGGGTATTAAGGATTGTAAATTTCACTTCATCATTTGTTTTACTGTCTGTAATATAAATCATAGTAATTGTATAGTTTATTTGAGCAATGCCAGCTTGCCTGCAAATCGCTCGTAACTTGGCTCCAGGGATGAGGATTTATCAAATTAATCAAAGCCTCACCTATTGAAAGACATATTCTTTTATCCAAGTTTTGATCACACTGTAATAGTAATTAATTTAGGTTAAATTTGACCTTTTCTTTATTTTCAAGGAAACCTAACTATTTTGACAGTCTAGGATGACATGAAACCCTTGTACAGACTCCAGATCTACTTTTACAAATGGCTTGCACTTGAACATTGCAGTTGACATTTCTCACTTGAACATTGCAGTTGACACTTCTGTCTTGCATGCAGTCTTTGACAGATGGATTTTATGTGGCCCATACACTGTAGTAACAAAATTTGACTTAATAGTGAAATCTGTGCCTATGTGAGAATTCACCAGATAGTGTTGTTTGTATCTTAAGGAGAGTGAAATGCAATTTTAATAAATTTTCTTATACTTGCTAGGCTCCAGTCCTTCCTTTTTTGCAATTTTCCTAAGCAAAATTCCTAAAATTTGGACTTTTTTGATGAAATATGGCTCACATGTAAGCAGTGATAACTATGTTAACAATCAGCTGAGTAAAGGGCCTTTGGCTTTGATACAGCAAGCTGCATATTTCCTTCAGCTGTCCACTAACCACCAGAAAATACCAAACCCAGAAGTGACTATTCTGAAAAGTCACACTATTAACCAAAAAAATAAAATAAAAATTGGGCACACATTATTACAGACCCCTCGTAGGTATTGCAACAGCTAAGTTAGTATAACCGAGGTTAAAGAGTACACGTTTCCCTTGCTTTATGCTGTACATGTGTTTCTGGAAAAGGGTGCATAACTTGAATTTGCATAAAGGGAATCCACTTTACAATGTAACAAATAGGGAAATGTTCCAAGACCTCAACTGTATTGACCCCCAGACCCATTTCTACCACTTTTATAAGACAATTTTGGTACTTACCAACAGCAGACACTACACACAAGCACAGAGCACTATCATAATGGAGATGGCAACTACAGAAACAGGTGTTGTAGACAATGAGCAAAAAGCACAGATCCACACAGACTATATTTTGGTGCGTCACTCCCACAATGCACTGCATAAAGAAGCTGACTGTAGGCTTCCACCACACTGATCTCATAAGGGTGAATTTACCTCGCATATAATGCATTTTTGGTATAAAAAAAGTCATCACATAAGAGCAAATTCGCACATACAGTACCCACATAAAGCAAGGGTAACCTGTACTGTTTTTTCTACATTGTCCACTTGTTTGTTTTGTACATTAGACAGCACCACATGTATAGTCAAACAACCCAACAAATCACCCAGTGAAACACCCACAGAAATAACAAAGCAATGTAGAAAAAGAAAACAATGCAAAACCACAAGCTGTAAGGCAAGAGTTGTAAGTGAAGCTGCATGTAAATTATTTTTAAAGTGACGGTGTCCTCTTAATTGTAACTGTATGAAGATGTGACGGGAAAATCCCAAAAATGATGATTACTTCATATTTTGAAAAAATGAATTGAGTGGCTGTTGCTACACTTGGAATCTTTTTCCACTATTGCACTTTTTCTAATAGTGTTGCTCCATATAGAGATACATGCTTCTGAAAGGGAAAGGGGCTGTGGGCTTGCAATTGCTATACTGTACATAAACCAGGAGTAACTTCAGTGAAGTCATTAGTTACACCAATGCAAGAGAAATCTAATTATGGCCTATTGGTTACTCTGCTCCTTCTTTCATCAACATGGACCTGCCAGATACTAAAACATAATTTGCCTACATCTGGAATGTCAGGTCCAGTAAGAGGTCTATACATCCCTTTATTTTACTGTAATGTAGTATATAACTAGCAATATTGGGCTGGTTTGAAATCCATGATAGTCATGATAATTTGCAGGGCAGGCATATAAGGAAATAATGCAATGGAAGTTTGAAAAGTTAGGATTATTTTTCAGTAATATTAATAATATTTCCTTTCACTGACTTGGCTGAGCCAGTTGTAATAGAAGAGACTATATTCTGAAAAACCTGCTTTAGCAACAGAATTACTACAGAGCCTCAAGATTACATGACCTTTTGCTACTGGGTTCTTTAAAAGAATCAATGGAAGTATTAATTCTTCCTGCAACTAAGTCAGTGACAATAAGGATGAACACAACCAGCTCCAGAATATCAGACCCAGCAACAGGTTTTTTTAGCTGCCAGTGACTAACACCTAACTGGTAATATTTGCACAGAAGTGAGAAAAAAATGCCCATGGAGCTCGGTGTTTTAGCGTAAAATAAAAACCTTCTAAATAAACTTATTTTAAGGCTGGTTACATGCACATAATTCAGAGTAATATTTTTCCTTAATATAACACGTTTGTATGCTTTAAGGTCTTTCTTTAAACAGAATATACAGTTTAGAGCACATCTGCACTGCATATTCCACAGTCCACCTTGTCCATTCCCCCTGACTTGTGCTTCCAGGTCCAATCCCGTAGTTACCTTCTGAATGGTCTTCATATTGCTAGGAAGGTAGAATGTCCTTCAGTGCTTTTCCAGGCTCACTCAGATTCCCTTTGGTGGATGAGTCTTGCAGGCTGCCTGTATAACAAAACTTATAGTTTGCTATAATCCATATGTTAAAAGTAATATTTTATTAGAAACACTTATAGACCTTTACCCCAATATCATGTTTAAACATGCCATATCATTAGATAATTAAAATACTCTTGCTTGTTTGAAAGTACCTTCATTCATTATGCTGTGGTGATACTAATTTTCTATTTAAATGATAAGGTGGCATTTTAATCTTTTTCTTTTTAATATTAATTAAAGAAAGGCCTTGACTTGGATTTTAAAGCAGACACACACTGGAACAAATGGAATGGCACAGCCCTTATACCTTGGAGGTATTTTCCACCTGGTGTAGACAAGATGAATGCATATGCCATCCACGGGTCTGGAATTGGAAGAACTTATGAGGCACTTTATCCGATACCTAGAGAACAGATAGCAGAAGATCAGGGGCCAAATTTGTGAGTACGAAACCACTGTGGTGGTTGTTTTCTTTTTTTTCTCTCAGTGATTACTACTATAGCAAGGCTGGGGAATCCTTCCTGCTGGAGTGTGATATGCTGAAATGTTTTCAGTATGATGCACATAAATAGCATCATGAAATCTGGGAAGTCTTTCTGCTGACTAGGATGCTGTTTAGATGTGACCCAGAGAAGAGAGGCAGACTATTAATAAAAATATACTAAATTCAGCTAATAATAATATAGAGATTCCTATGTAAGAGTATGTTTATGTTGTTATGCAAATTGTCTTAGATGAAATCTAATACAGTGATATGAAGAGAAGCAGCAGAGAGCATATTCCACTAGTTTTCCTATTCAGTAATGGATGCACTTCCCATACTGATTTGCACAACTTAGTAGCAAAGTTCAGCAAAGTACTTGCTCAGGCATTTAACTTTAAGCACATATGTAAGCCCTTTTGAAGTCTCCAATGAAGTTTCCAGCCAGATGAGTCATAATTTTTGTTGTTCTGTTTAGGTCAGAATGTCAGCCCTATTCTGGCTAGGCTGTACTGCTCTGCATGCAAAGCAGACATGGAAACAATGATTTTAGCCACTGAAAATTCTTGCTATTTAGGGCATCCTCAGGTAGAACAAAGCTATGGGTGCTTACACAAGTGTAGGCAGCCTGTCAGGGAGGTGCTGTTACTCATGATGCTTTGTACCCATGGTGCTTTACACAAAGTACCATGAGTTAGTGCCGTTGAATCCAACAGGCATTCGCCTGTTAGGGCAGGGGTGAACCTGTTTGGGCCCTGGCCAGCAGGCGGGGGCAGTCCTGCCAATCTCCCAGGAGGCTGCAGCCTAACCCTCTTTCCAGCCCTGCCCCCTCCACCAGCTGGCAGCTGCCCCCAGCAGCCTCTGCCACTGTCAAGATGCTTGCGCGTGGGGGTGGGGGAAGAGAGACCCACCTGCCATGGGTGGCCACCCAGCTGCTACTTCTGGGGTTTCGGGGGAGCTGGACTGGGCCCATGAGGCAAAGGCCTTTTTTTTCCCTGCCCTACTCTCCATGGGAGCATCTTGACAGCAGCAGAGGGTGTCATGTCTGGAGCTGGGGGTGGGAAATGGAGCCCTGCCCCACCACAGGCCCAACCCCACTACTCCTGCTGGGGTTTTGGGTAGAGCCAGGATGGGCCTGTGAGGTGGGGAGCCTCCATTTCTACCTCCCCTGCCCCATCTCCAGTGTGGCAGCCCCTGCCACTTGCAGGGTATTTGCAAGTCATGGGGTGGGTGTGGGGGGAGGAAACCCTATTCCTTGCAGGCTCGGCTCAGCTCCTCCCC